CCCTCCTGCATCCACCATTAATCAAGGACATGTTCTTTTTTTTTAATTTATTTATTTATTAAAGATTTCTGTCTCTTCCCCGCCACCGCCTCCCAATTCCCTCCCCCTCTCCCAATTAAGTCCCCCCCCCCAGCCCGAAAAGCAATCAGGGTTCCCTGTCCTGTGGAAAGTCCAAGGAACCCCCACCTCCATCCAGGTCTAGTAAGTTGAGCATCCAAACTGCCTAGGCTCCCACAAAGCCAGTGCGTGCAGTAGGATCAAAAACCCATTGCCATTGTTCTTGAGTCTTCAGTAGTCCTCATTGTCCGCTATGTTCAGAGAGTCCGGTTTTATCCCAGGCTTTTCCAGACCCAGGCCAGCTGGTTCAAGGACATGTTCTATGGACATCCTCAGGTGATCTGGATGGAGATATTTTCTCAATAAGATTCCCTCTTCCTGGATGTCTAGGGATAATAGCCGCGTAAAGGGCTCTAACAGGCCAGAGCATGGTGATCATGGCTCTGGTAGGCGTTGCTCATCCCTCTTCCTTCCGCCTTATAAAACTGTTAGGTTACATTCCTAAGCTAGCCACCAAGGTCTATTCCCCAGTTTGGTCAATCCTTCCTCCTGAGGCTGACCACCAAGTTCCAGCTCTCAAAGTATTAAGTCCAGCAATCAGAGGCCTCCTTTGGCTCACCAAATTAACATGCCCAACTAAAATGAAACACCTCATCTTAACACATGATTTCCCTTTTCCTTTATAAACTGTCATTTGCCTGTGGCCACTTCTGCCTCCTCTCTATCTAGAGGCTGTCCTTGTCGCTCTGGGACAAATGTCTCATCCCTTTCTCCCTCCCCTTCCCCCTCTTCTACCTCCCGCCTTCATCTCTTATTCCCTGCCCTTTGTTCCTCTGGGACAAATAAATCTCTTTGTGCTGAGAACTTGGTCTTGGGGTGTCTTATGCCAATACTGATCCTTTCACTGTGTATATGTTAGTACATTCAATTCAGCTGAGAGTGTTGTTATAAATTTTTTAATTCTTTTTTTGGTATCTTTTTATAGTAGTTAAGTAGAGATAAAGATATCTTTATAGGCCAGCTTGTATTCATTTCATGGGCCCGGTTGGCAGGTGGTTCAGCAGAGTCACACCTGATCTGTGAGTGTTTCTGTGCATGTGTGCGCTCAGCTTCTTTACTGTAGTTGTCGGGAGTCAGCTCTGGATACCACCACAGAATGCTGTGTGTAGGCTGAGCATTTAAACAACAGAAACGTATTTCTCATGATTTGGGATAAAGGTCCTATTAGTTCCAGGGGAGGGTTAACTCTGTGTGTGTGCATAAGTGTGTGTGTGTGTTAGAGAGAGAGAGAGATACAAAAAGTCAGATACAAACATAGTAAGACAGACAGATAGAAGGAACGCTCCTCCTTCGTGTTCTTATCAGCGCATTAATCCTATTTTGTCTCTAGCCTCATAACTTCTCCTAACTCGGCCACTCCTCGTACCATCTTGTTGAACTGTGAGGGTATAGTGGAGATAGTGCAGTGTCTGGTTCAGATCTCTTTGGTGGTTTAGGACACTCATAGTCCTGGGACTCTCAACCGATCCTTTGTTTTTTGCATCCGTGTTGGACTCTAGTGTCCAAACACGGAGGAGGAGTCGCCCCCAGAGACCACCTCACACACCACAGCCGATGCAAAAGCATGAGGATTTTATTAATTCTGTCATGACAGGGTCCCCCAGCATTCGGGAAGCCGAGGGACCTCGAATAGCTAATACAGTCTACTTTTAAAGGGGCCACAGAAGCAAGGGGGGTTGTTCTTTGACTATTCTGATTGGCTTATTCGAAAGGGCTATTACCAATAATTGACTGGAGAGCTGTTGCCAGATCAGATGAGGTAAGAGGTCATTTTGACCCCGTTTCCCAGGGGACCGAACCAAAACATACATATATGGGTAATTGTTCAGGAACTGAGTACGTGCGAGTGTAGCTGTTAGGTCCTTGGTTCCCAGGGGAGGAGGGGAAGCACTATGGCACAGAGGCTGAGAGGATTCAGAATTGTCAAAAATGGCTTTAGGATTGTCTTAAAGTCTTACACTACCAGCAGTTAAACTCTGCCTTTCTGGAACATTTATGTAAGTCATGTGTTCTCCCTGAAGTTGGTGCCTGTTCTTTCAGCTTCTTTTGTGGAGTATTTTAGCTCAGCCTTGGGTCTTCTTCTCCTCTGCGCAAGGTTGGACTTGCCCCCACAGGACTCCATGAAGCTCTAGACTCCCGAAAGAGGATTCTTTTTATTTTGAAGATTTATTTTATTCTGTTTGTTTGTGTGAGTGTGTGGGTGTGTGTGCATGTGTGCCTGAGTATGTCATGTGTATGTGGGCACCCTCAGAAGCTAAAACAGAGTACTGAGAATTGAGCTCTGATCCTCTGGAAGAGCTGCAAGTTGAGCCGTCTCTCCAGCCCCTGGGAAAGATTGCTGTAGGTTAAATTTTAAAGTTTACAGATAATCATTGTATTATCAATACATAAGATTGTAGCAAAATCTTTGTTCTTTCTTTTCTTTTTGATTTTTGAAACAAGGTTTCTCTGTGTAGCCTTGGCTGTAGTTGAACTCACTCTCTAGACCAGGATGGCCTTGAAAACTCAAGAGATTCCCTTGCTTCTGTCTCTTGAGTGCTGGGATTAAAGGAGTTTACTGCCACTGCCTGGCAGTATTTTACATGGCAGGTATGGCTGGAGTTTTCGTCTTTAGGAGCAGCATAACTTTTTCAAGGTGGTGAAGAAATTCAGGCACCAACCTAACCAGACTCTCATGGACTTTCCTTTTCTATACCACCTTCTCTCATTTCTTGTTCTTCTGAGACCCTCCGAAGGTGGCTTCGCCCGTGAGTACTGTCCCCAGAGCTCTCTCCAGTCTGCCGTGGAAGATCCAGGCATAAGTCACTGCTTTTCCTGTCTGTTTTCCCCCTGCTGCTTCTCATTCTGTTGTCTTAGGCCTATGTGTTTTGGCTGGAATATATGTTTTAAAATGATTGACAGAATTGATCTGAGGGTTAGGATGGGGATTTTGGAGCAATTGTCTTCTAAGAGAAATCTAACTTTTTTCTGTCAGGTGTCTGGGAGGTCGGCAGCCAGGAGCCATCCTAATCCAGGTTCAAGGTCTGACTCTGGGTCACTGAGCTGGACGGAAGACCATTTAGCTGACGTTTACCCAGGGTCTGGTGTGTGCATCTTTACCCGTCCACAGCAGGGGCCAGCAGCAAGCTTTATTAGGATGTCTTTTCTGCAGAGACTCAAGCTGTGGACACATTGCACCCGTGGGTCCTCAAGGCTGGCTTGGATTGAAGATGGGGATGGTCAGGGGCTGGGTGTAACGGAGGTTGAGGATGGGGATGGTAAGGGGGCTGGGTGTAACGGAGGCGAAGCGTGAGCTTCACTCTTCTCTGTTCTGGGTCCTGAAGACCTGCAGCCTTGTGCAGAAGTGCGCAGGGCATCTGTGATGATGAGCCAGTCTCAGGGGTGGATGGCTACAGTCTTGGCTGGAGGCAGGAGGATCCGCCTACCACCTCCCCACCTCTTGAGTATGGTGGGTCTGATAAACCCTACCCAGAACTTCTGCTCCAGTTATTAGCTCCAATGACTTTGTGTTGGATAGCTGAAGCTGCAGACAGCAATCAGGGGAGCCTTGGGGATCAGGCTACGGACAGCAATCATGAGGGGAGCTTTTGGGACCAAACTGCAGACAGCAATCAGGGCAGCCTTTGGAACCAGGCTATGGACAGCAATCGGAAGGCCTTTGGGACCAGGCTGCAGACAGGAATCAGGAGGAGAGTCTTGGGGACCAGGCTATAGACAGTGTTTGATGGGGTTTAGGGTATTTTTGGTCTAAAGCATTACCTTCAGCTCCCTAACAACCCTCTATACAAAAGGGTTTGTATAAAGGATTGTTTGGCTTGGGGCTTCACCCCAGCTCCTGTCATAAGCTCCCTCCCCTGGAAGTTGCCTCAGTCCAAACTCCCCCTCCAAGAAAGCCTGCCAAATGGTGTTGCCTCCCCAGGAGGGTCAAGAAAGCCCTCCAAAGGGTATCTCCTCCTCAGGGAAAGTCGAGCCCACTCCCACAGGCTATTTGAACTGCCCCCCAGAGAATGAACATGTGGTCTCTGTGTTTTGTGTGGTTTCCCCCTTTCTCTCTCTTCCCCTTTGCATATTTTCCCGGGGCTACCTGGGAGTTTTCTCATCTATTAAACATGGGCATCTTTTAATTTGGTTTGATTCAGTTTGATTGGGATTATTTCTATTGGTAGAGAGGTTCCTCTAAGAGAAAATGCTTAACAGGGTCTGGCTGAAGTCAGTCAGGATTTGGTCTTAGAGTGCAGACACGTAGATGTGGCCCCCAGCTGGAGATGGATGGAAAATGAATATGTCCAGATAGGGGACAGACGGGACAGAGGGACAACTAAGCTGTCCTAGCTTGGTTGCAGGGCTGGCTGTTAGAGCCAGTGGGAGGTCACAGGCCAGCAAAGCAGAAGGCTGTGTGGCCGGTGAGGGTGGGAATGGAGCTTAAAAGGTAGGCTTTGGAGGTGGCTTTTTGTATTTTTAATGATTGAGACAAAAAATGTCTGAAACTACGGTTTCTGGACAGACTCCTTTTACTTGACCAACCTGGAACTAGGACTTGACCTGCACAGATCAGGAGAAGAGAAGCGTGGGAGAATACTGGTCCTGAGGAGGGGAGAAGACAGGGTGGACAGCTTTAGGAGGCTTACTCTGGAACTTTCTGGGGAATGGGCACTGTGTTGTTGATTAGAACAGGTTCCTGGGCCTCTCTTGCCTCTGCTAGACACCAAGACCAGCACAGTTCAACACCACCCTCCCCACTCTGAGTGATTTTGCTTTGTGAGAGGTCAGAATGCTATCCTGGCAGTTAGTGGCCACCCACACTGAGGCACTTAGAGTCGTATAAACTGTTTCCTGGTGGGAGATGGCACATCCCGGCCTACTGCACGGTGGCCTCCGGAAGCATGAAGGTGGTGTTTCTGGCGGCCGCTCTTCTTGCTTTGGTCTCTATGTCCCGGGTCCAGGCCCTGTGGCTGGGAAGGCTGGATCCTAAGCAGGTAACAGCCTTCTTGGGCAGCAGGTCCTCGGGCCAGGCCCTACCTTTGAGGCTACACAGCATTTGCATCCCCAAGAGTCAATCTGGATAAGCATGGATCGAGGGAGTTAGACTGTGTGAAGGGTGCGGGAGTTCTTTAACTGCTCTGAAGGAGGAGAGCCGGTATCTCAGCCAATGATTCCCCTAGTTCCTTGGGCCCTGGTACATCCTGGCGATGGCCTCCCGTGCCAAGGACTTCATGGTGGAGAAGGACATGAAAAATGTAGAAGGCGTCCTGGTGACTCTCACTCCAGATAACAAGCTGAGAGTTCTGTCTTCCCGGCAGGGGTGAGTGGGCAACCCCTGAGCTGGGGACTCTGTTTCAGCTTCCTCAGCAGGAGACCTTCCCCAGAGGGGCTGCGGGCTTTGTCTCCCTCCTTCAGAGAGAGGACTGGATTCTGCAGACCAGCTCCTGACTCCATGGTTGGCTCTCCGTGCTCCCCACTCCTTTGTGCTCCCCGGGTTAATCTCTTCTGTTCCTGAGGTCCCCTGAGTGGAACGCTCCCTGCCTCTGTTGTCCTTTCTTCCTTCCCCTGGTGGACTCTGCCTGCCTCATCCACTTTCTGCCAGCCTGTGAATCTCTGTCCCTGGCCTCTGACGGCATGACTTGATACTCCTTTGTTCTTTTTCTCTTTGAGTCTTGTGGAGCGTTTGGTCCTCAGGGCCACCGGCTTAGCTGCAAGCATTGATCTCTTCAGAAGGAGGTCACCAAAGCTTCAGGCCAGTCTAGCCTGTAGGGTCAAGCTGGCCTTGTCTAGTGAAGTAACACATAGCAGTCCCTGAGGCACCTGGTGGGAGTTGTGGGGAAGTGGGATGAATGTCTCTTAAATGTGCCTCATTTGGTGTGCCAGGCTGGCTGCTTAGTGAGGACCTGAGCCACTGAGACAGGCTGCAGACAAGGATGACTTTGAACTCATGATCCCCCCACCTCCACCCCTCAGGGCTTGGCATGGCAGGTGTAGCTATTTCTGCACATCTGACTCATGTTTCTGATACTGAGTCACAAACACAAAAACAAAACAAAACAAAAAAACAAACTAGCTAGAGAGTACTTCCCAGTTTGTTTTCTGATGTTGGGAGGCTTTTTGAAAATACTTATGTGTGTGAATATTCTGCCCGCATGCATGTTTGTGTACCATGTGCATGCCTGATGCCATAGAAGGCAGAGAGGAGCATCAGATCCCCTGACATTGGTGTTAGGAATGGTGGTGAGCTACTGTGTGAGCATTGGGAACCAAAGCCGGGTCTTCTGTGAGACCAGCGAGTGCTCTGAACTGCCTGGCCGTTTCTCCAGGTTCGAGGGGGACTTTGTGTCTCTGAAGTGCTTTTTAATTCTGCATTGAGTGCACAGCGGCTTTTGTGTCTGAGGGCTCTGGTTGCCAGCACACGGGGTAGGGGTGGGAGTTTCCTTTCCCTTTCCGTTCTGGAAGTCTTAAATCTTTGGTACTTCTAGAACTTGGCCTGGTGAGAAAGTGTGAGGTACACTCAGGTGGCTGTGCAGCCTACATTGCTGAATTATGACTTAGTTTATGACCGTTGTCAGAGGTATACTTCTGGGTAAATTTTCTTTGTTTTTAACTTTCTCTTCTGTTCCTGTGATCTGTTCATTGACCCAGACTTTGCTGTGGGTGTGAGGTGCATCTCCTGGTCTGCTGGACCAGCTTATGCTGTTTTCCTCCAGAACCTCCCGGGCATTGCTCACTGCAGGTGTCCTGTTCCCAGCTTGGCAGTCCTGTTTTGTCTAGCAGATCCTGCTGAGCTTCTCTTGTGTTTTCTCACCTCAGAGGGTGAGGCCTCAGGGGATGTCTGGATAGTGTCTTCTTGCTTGAACCACAAGCCGATGTCTCTTGAGCCCTCAGCACCCAACAGTGTGGATCCCTTGGGAAATGAAAGAAATGATGATGGGACCGGAGAGATGGCTCAGTGGTTAAGAGCACTGACTGCTCTTCCAGAGGACCCGGGTTCAATTCCCAGCACCTACATGGCAGCTCACAACTGTCTGAAGATCCAGTTCCAGGGGATCTGACACCTTCATAAAATAAAAGCTAAATAAACCATAAGAAATGTTTAGAAAAAAAAAAGAAATGATGAGTGCTGCTCAGGCCCCAGGGTAGGTTTTCTGTGTAACCCCGACATCATGAAATGTGAACCCCCTTTTTGGCCTTCCCTGCTGGCTGACCTGTGTGCGTCTCAGAGGCCTTCCTGCCGTTGTTTCCTAGGCCAGATGGGTGTCGTCAGAGCATGGTGGAGCTGCTGAAGCAGAATTCTCGATGGGTGTTTGAGAATCCCTGTGAGTGTGATGCCCCTGGGACCTCCTCGTCCGATCACCATGAAGGCCGGCTCCTGTGTATTCCCAGGCTGCAGTTGGCAGGGCCAGGCCTGGCAGGAAGGAGATCACTCTGCTCCAGAGCCCTTGGCACCATTCTGTGGGCCGATAAAGGATCTGACAGTCAGGGCCCTGGGGTCAATCCTCAGGGGAAGGAGGCCCAGATGCATGTGTTTGGGGGGGTCCTAGTCTCTATCCCTGGGCTTCTTCATGAGTTAAGAGGGCCGGGTGCCTGGATAGTAGTGTTCTACCCGCAAAGGATGGGACTGGGAGAGGGTGAGCCGCTTGCTCTCAGTCACCCTGGGCTGAGCTGGGGCAAGCGCTCATCTGTCTGTCTGTCCACCAGCATCTGAGAACTGCTTCTTGCTGGCACAGTGTAGGGGTTAGGGGCCAGGGGACAGCTTGAGACCTCTGCTGAAGTTGAATAGGGTTTGGCTATGCTCCCCATTTTGACTTGCATGATGCTCCCATTCCCTCTGCCACCCTGGATCTTGCATTTGCTCTCTAGCTATTGGCGTGCTGGATTATCGGGTGCTGGGCACTAACTTCAAGGACTACGCCGTCGTCTTCACACAGCTGGAGTTTGGGGATGAGGCCTTCAACACAGTGGAGCTGTACAGTAAGTGGGGACAGGCAAGGTTGCTCAGGGTCGCTGGTGCCCCAGACATAGATACTCTGTGTCCACAGTCCCCAGTAGGGAACATACAGGGACAAGCTCCAGCTACCCTGAAGTTTGCTAGGGATTGGGGTAAAGAAAGGGTTGGGGGACACAGTCACGCTCTCCACACTCTGACCGTCTCTCAGAGGCTGCTCCTTCATGCCCAGGTCGGACAGAGGTGGCTAGCTATGAGGCCATGAAGCTGTTCACCAAATGGAGCCAGGGTCTGGGTTTCCGTGCCCAGCAGCAGGCGCAGCTGCGGAAGGACCGTGAGTGTTACTAGTACTGGCCACAGGGGGGCGCAGGCAGGTGTGACACACACACACACACACACACACACACACACACACGGAGTGCCTGGGGTGGTGGACATGGTTCGTCTTCTTAGACTGGTTTGTGGGTGCTTCACTGGATCACCTACACCTGTCATACATAGTCAAGTCTGTAGGAACAGCCTTCTTGGAAGAGGCTTGTGGGTAGGATCCTGGGAGCTGCTGCAGCCCTGCTCTCACAACTGGCTTGGTTTTTTTTTTTTTTTTCCAGTCACGTGTGCACACAAGATCCTCCAGGTAGGCCACCTTTTCTGCACCACTCTTGGCTCCTTGGGGAGCAGGAAGTGCCTGGGGCTTTGGGTGGACCCTCTTCAAAGCCCACGACTCTGCTGGTGGGAAGGTCACTGAAGGTGAGGATGAAGGATGTCTTAAGCCCCTCTCCAACTCTTGCCCTGGTTTTCAGTGACGCCCCACCCCAGAGATAGCATCACATCCTCGCATCCTGGTGGAGGTGGACAGGCACTGTCTTTACTCAGCGGCTAGAGGTGCTGGTGTTGGTTCTCTGCTCCCTAGGCTCAGGCTTGGGTTGAAAATAAAACAATTTCACAAGTAAACCTGCCACAATGTGTCTTCTCTGGGGGTGGGATGGTTCCTGTGCTGTCGCCAGAGACCAGACCATGGAACCACAGAGTCAGCTCAGGGACAAAAGAGTTTGATGCACTAATATCTCTTGTGAGAATTCTTGAGCCTGAAGACAGGGATGCTGGCTTTTCACTGGGGACAGGATGTAGCCACCAAGAATGGCAAAAGCTGAGGTGCCTGGGCTAGACAAGAGCTATATGAGTATGTCAGGACACTATCAAGACAGCCCTGGACCACCTGAATCCAAGGACCGGGTCCAAACACCTATGCACTACCTAGTAGAAAGAAACACTGAGCGTTGCATAGTAGGAAAGCACAGATAGCATCCACCAACAACTTATAGGGGGTTAGTATCCACAGGCGGCCTGGCAGGAGGACACAGAATTCACAGACTGGCTGGCAGGGGAGTTAGGTCAGTATCTGTGAGCTTCCCAGCAGGGAGGTACTCCCAGGGCCCCAGCTCCTCTACTCCTAGGCTCTGGCTGTTGGTTGGGGGTGGACATGGTGGTGTATGGAATTCCCAAAGGCCTGAGCTTATGGGCCCTCATTGCAAAAGGGGTATCTGGTCGGGAAATGGTGGAACAAAGTCACCTATTAGAAAGTAACGTGTGTGTGTGGGGGGAAGGTTCAAAGCTTGGGCACACATCGGTTTGTTCTTTCTCTCTCTCTCTCTCTCTCTCTCTCTCTCTCTTTCTCTCTCTCTCTCCCTCTCTCTTTCTCTTTCCTGGCCTGGTCATCAGCAGCTCCTCAGGCACTATATATAGCCTTCCATAGGGAGTTCCAAAGTTTATACCTAGAGGCCACTGTTTCTGTCTCTCCTGTCTGCACACTTGCCCAAGAGTCTAGTCCCAGAGACACCCTAGGCTTCTGCCTCCTCTCTTTGGCTAGGGTTATAAGAGTCCCAGGGACCCGGTGCTAGGTGAGACAGCCCAGACTGTAATGGTAGGCAGATGTGTGTAGTTCTAACCCTTTGGGAGTGAGGGATGTGAGAACCAGCCTCCATATGGCCTCTGAGAACGGGATGGTGTCTGTCTTCTGGGACCTCCCAGGCAGGCAAAGTCTGTTGTAACCAACCACGACCAAGGTAAAGTTCTCAGAAGGAGGAGCAGAGCTTGAAATCACGCCTTCCCATCCCAGCGGCCCGAGTCTCCAGGGCAGGTCTGACACCACATCAGGGCAGGCACGGCAAGATACAGCTTTAAACTCAGAGCTGCAAAGGATGAAGCTGGAAATGGCCCTAGCCACAGTCCTAGCTCTGGCTGTGGTGTCCTGGACAGAGGAGTTTTTCCCTAAGGAGGCCCACACTCTCAACTGGGGCAAGGTAAGCCTCATGCCCCCTGGTACCTTCATCAGGTACTAGGGTTACAGGGTACAAAGGCCACTTAGGACCAGAGCTCCAACTGTGGGGTGATCTGGGATAATGTCCTCAGCAGGAGGGCAGAGCACGGCATCTGTTGAGCCTAGCTGTGTTGGTTACCTGTCCTTGAGCCCAGCTGTGTTGGTTACCTGTCGTCTCCCGCCACTGCTCCAGCCCTGGGACCTCTTGGAGATACCTCTGCTGCAAAAACAGTGGGGTGGAGGGGCAAGCATTAGAGGTGCCCTGAAGTGGAAGAGAGCCGGTGGGGTGGCTGTGGGTGCAGAGGCGAGGTGGACAATGTAAGAAGCACACACAGAGTATTAGGATCAAGGAGTATGCATTGGGGAAAAGTTGGTAGCTAGCGGCCCAGGGACAAGTAGGAGAGAAAGTGGTTGAGTGTTGGTGTTACAGGGAGGCCAAGAGGGAAGGAACCGCTGGGGTGGGTATGGTAGACACAGCCCAGGCTTCAGACTCCTGGGCACCTGGCCAGCTAAGCGCCAGCTTCTCTTCAGCCTGGGACAGGGTAGTGTCCACCTGCAGATACAGATGTGGTCTGGGTCTTGGGAAAGGGCCACTTGCTGGGTCTGTTCTCTAGCTGGGAGCCTGGACAGGCAGCATAGTGTAGCAGCTCCAACACCGTCCTCCCCTGCTGCCCCCGCAGTTTTCAGGCTTCTGGTACATTATTGCCATCGCCACGGACACCCGGGGGTTCTTGCCGGCTAGAGACAAGAGGAAGCTGGGGGCGTCTATGGTGAAGGTGCACAAAACGGGACAGCTCAAGGTGGTCATCGCCTTCAGCCGGTGAGGGGACAGTGGTCCTGGTACACCTTTGCAGATTGGCCAGGGACAGCCTCTCTCTGGGAAGAAGGGGCCGACAGGAAGCAGTGTGGAGTCCTCAGACAGATGGTTTTACTACCTCTTCCTTTCCTGAGACCTAAGGGCTGATTTGGAGAGAAATGCATGGCATGGGGGAAGGGATGCTGGGAGTGGACCCCACCCAAACTGGCCATCTTGGCCACTGACCCCCACCCCTAGGTCCAGGGGCAGTTGTGAGTAGAGCTGGAGAAGTTGGTGGTGGAAGGTGGTGGAAGGTGGCCTTCTGGCTGCAGCTCCTCACACCTGTTCCCCAGGCCTCATGGGTGTCAGTCCATGGAGACGACCCTGAAGAAGGACAGAAAGAAGCCTGTGTTCAGGAATACTTGTGAGTAAGATGCCTGGGCCATGGGAAACTGAGCCAGTGGCCGGACATCCAGGATGGGCGAGCAGGGTGGCTGAGGTCCCACAACTGGCTAAGTGACCTGGCCTAGGAGGTGAGGCCCGTGAGGAAAGACTGTGCTGGACCGGCTGATGTGTTGGGCACCAGATTCTGTACTGTGGGTGGGCGTGGGTGTCCAGGTACCAGATTCTGTATTATGGGTGGGCGTGGGTGCCCAGGCACCAGATTCTGAACTGTGAGTGGGCATGGGTGCGTAGGCATCAGTGGCTGCTGTGCTTCTCTTGTAGTGAAGGGGATAAAGGGTTTCCATGTGCTGTCCACCGACTACACATATGGCCTGGTCTACCTCCGCTTGGGCCGCGCAGGTAGCAACTACAAGAGCCTGCTGCTCTTCAGTGAGTACGCTGTGCGGTCTGGGTATAAGCACCATGGTGGTGGAGGGCTCAGGGACCAGAGACACAGAGGTGAGGGAGGGTGAAGGGGAGGGAAGGCTGGCCAATGGGGAGGGAGGGCGGTTGGTGAAGGGCCGTCTGAGAAGGGCTGTGTGTAGGGTTGGAGGTGGCAGCTGCAGAGTCAAGGGGAGACCCTCAATAGTAGGGGTCTAGATGCAGGGGCTGCAGGATAGGACAACCTTATGTGTTACTGTTCAGATGCTGCCCCAGAGGAGGTTGAGATGCGGGCTGTGAGTGCTGAGCTCTGGGAAATGGAGGCTTAGGATGAGGTGGCTGGATCCAGTGTGAACAAGGGGGAGTGTTTAGGGAAGGCATTGGGGAGGGGGAGGAAGTGAGGTGGCCAGGAGGAGGGGCACCAAGCCTGGGCTGCAGAGGGGGTCTGTGGACAGAGCAGAGGAGAGGCATGTTTTGAATGTAGCCGACCTGGACATGCCCGGGGGGAGGGCTGTTTGTAGGGACAGACTGCAGGGTGACCCTATCTCTTAGCCTTGGAAATGGGGCCCAGAATGACAGTGAAGGAGAGCATGAAAGATTAGGATACCACCCTCCAAATGTCTTATGTCTTATGTGATTCTGTCCACAACTCAGACAGACAGAACATCTCCAGCTTCCTGAGTCTGCGAGAATTCCTGGACATGTGCCATATCCTGCGGCTCACCAAGCAGGCCACCATCCTTCCGAAAGACGGTACTACACAGCCTTGGGCTCTTATTCTCCTGTCCCCCATTCTGCCCCATGAGATAGCTGATCCACGTAGGAGATGTGCGTGCATGTGTGTGCATGTGCATATGTGTGTGTGCATGTGTGTGTGCGCATGTGCCTGTGTGTGCCTGTGTGTGTGTGCATGCATGTGTGCATGTGCGTGTGTGCATGTGCATATGTGTGTGCGTGTATGTGTGTGCATGTGCATGTGTGTGTGCCTGTGTGTGTGCCTGTGTGTGCCTGTGTGTGCATGCATGTGTGCGTGTGCCTGTGTGTGTGCATGTGTGTGTGTGTGCCTGTGTGTGTGCATGTGCGTGTGTGTGCATGAATGTGTGCATGTGCCTGTGTGTGTGCATGTGTGTGTGTGTGCCTGTGTGTGTGTGCATGTGCATGTGTGTGCATGTGTGTGTATGTGCCTGTGTGTGTGTGCATGTGCGTGTGTGTGCATACCTGTGTGTTGCCACGTGGTCTGCCAAGTCAACTGTGAAGATGCCTAGATGTTCTCATCCCCCGTACCTGTGGGCTTCCTGCCAGCATTGGGTGTGCAGCGTCCCTAGCAGACCGAGGCGGCTCCCAGAGCATACAGACTCCAGTTGACACTCCGAATGGAGACCACACAGCTCTACCCTCTAGAGTCCAGGGCAACCAGGGCAAGGACCCTCATATGAATTCATGACAGAGGTGGCAGCCAGGCCTCTCAGCACCGTGTTCTTGCCCACAGATTCCTGTGCACACACAATCCTGCCGTGACAGCCAGTCAGTCATCCTCTGCTCACCCCTTTGCCTTGAGAGTCTTCCAGATGCTCGAATGCTGTTCCAGGTGGTGACTGTGGCATTCAGTGGGTGTTGGGTGACTGCAGCCCAGTGGCTGACTGCACAGAGCCCGAGCTGTGACTGCTGTCTTTGCATCCTCCAGAACCAGCAAACTCCCACTGGCTGTGCTCATGGCTCCCTTTGGTCCACCTGCCCGGCCGAGTCTGACGCTCACCCTCACTTCACCTTGGGGAGGCTGAGCATAGACCATAGGCTCATCCCATTTTGTTCCTTTCTTTGAAACTGGGCTTCTTTATTTTGGGAGCTAGAGAGATGGCTCAGTGGTTAACAGTGCATACTGCATAGAACTCAAGTTTCGCCCCCAGCGTCCATATTGAGGGGCTCACAAACACCTGTAACTGCAGCTCCATGGGATCCAACAGCCTCTTCTGGCCTTTGTGGGCACTGCACACACACACACCACCTGCCCACATATATGTACAATTACAAATAAAAATCTTTTAAAAGTTTTTATTTTCATATGTACTTTTTTTTTTGCCTCCCTAGGGATGGGACTAAAGATGTGCACCATCATGCCAAGCTCTGTGCATATTCTTAATTATACTTCGTTCTCATTCATTCTCCTTCCCCTGCCTCCCTCTTGCTTCCCGTCCCTATCAACTGGTCCCCACTTCGCTTTCATGTTTCAACCTTCCTACATTTCCTCTTCTTACGTTTTCCTGGTCTCCTTTCTACTTTCATGACACATACACTAAAATCTAGACCTTGAGACTGGAGATAGCTCACGAAGAGCACACGCGACTCTTCCAGAGCATCCAAATTCAGTTCTCAGAAGCCATGTCAGGCTCACCACTGTCTGTAACCTCAGCTCAGGGGATCTGATGTCATCCCCTGGCCACATGGGTAGCTGCACATATATGTGTACACTCTCACACAGACCTACAATAGGTAACACAAGTCATCAACACACACACACACACACACACACACACACAAAAGATGATGAGGGTCAAAGTGCCCTACTTCTCTTTCTGATTTTGTTTATTCAACTAAATATAATGATCTCTCGTTTCATCTGGTTTTCTGTAAATATCATCATTTCACTCTTGTTTAGGTCTGAATAGAATTCCATTTTGGGTGTACCACGCCGTATTTTCTCGGTCTTCATCTCTTGATGGGCACCTAGGCTAAGCCCGTACCTGGGCTACTGGGAACAGTGCAGCAGTGAGCAGAGATGTGCGCGTGTCGCTGTGGCGTGCTGACTTAGAGGCTTTCCCGAGTGGTCCCAGGAGTGGCCCTGCGGTAGCTCTAGCTTCTGTTTTTAGGAGTTTCCACGCTGACTTCCACAGTGGCTGCAGCACTCTCCTGTGGCCTCTGGTCACTCAGCTGTGTTCTGCTACAGGAGCAGTAGCAGCAGGAGCTCCTCCTTCGGAGGCTTCCTGGGCTGGCTTACGTGCTGGCTGGGTCAGCTTTGCCTTTCTCCTCCACGTGGGTCTCTCTCCTCCAGTCCCAGGCACGAGCATCTTCTCCTGTGGCCTTCTCACCAGCAGCAGGCTTCCAGCACCAGAGTGAAACTCCGCCACAGGTGCCACCGATGCTGAGCAGTTTTGAGCACTCAATCTTCACTTCAAACCTACCGTGTCACCGTGTGAGCAAAATGCCGTCACACGGCCCAGGTTTATCCTTTCATGATGTGGGTCCTAGGGTGTGGACTCAGGCCATCTGGCTTAGCAGCAAGCACCCTTATTTTCGGAGCCTCCTCTGGCCTTCTAATATTGGCACATACCAGCTCCACCATCCAGGAGGTTCTCAGATGTGCCCCTAGGTCTTGCTTCCTGTACCCAAAGATCATAGCCATTACAATTGGCTTCAATTTGTTGGAATGGAACATCCCTGGTCCTCTGGGGTGCACTGCTTAGAGAAGCTGGGCTTCTTTCATTTCGCTGTGATGTTCTGAGACCCCATGCTGATGAGCACATGACCAGTTTCCTTTTTAGTGCTGGCTGCTGAGTGTTAACGGGCTGGACTTTGAGAATATCCTTCACACGCAGTTAAGTCCCACAGAGCCAGCTTGATGCCTTCAGATCTTCCATTGAGGTGCTTCAGAGCAGAGCTGCATTTAGGGTTCACTTCAGACGACTGACTTCTCGCTGACTCCCCTTTCACCCAGGTGTGAGCATCGGGACAGAATCCTTCTGTCTCCAATGGTCCCAAGGCTTTCTCTGCTGGTGGATTGGGTTTACTTCAACAGTTTTGGGTGATCTATGTTCTCTTAGATGTGACCAACCATGTCAATTGGCACAGGATTCCATCATGCTGTTCAGTGTCGACGAGGCTTATCTCTTGTAAGATGCTTACCCTCTGTGCTTTTCAATTCATTACCTGTGTGCTGTGTTCACCAGACTTTTGGGTCGAGGGCATTTATTTGTATGTGACTTTTGGCTTATGAATGAAAACAGGATCCCGGGAGCCCGGATTCAGAAGGCAGTCGATCTCAGGTCCGATTCCACACTTCCTGGGAAGGATCTAAAACTCAACGTGTGGTGGGAGGATGGCAGCTGACATTAGTCATGGCCCTACAGCCTTCTGGGAAGGAGTCAGGAGTTAAATATGGTGGGGTCCTGAGCACCCCTCTAAGCCTTAAGGTCCAGGAAGGTCATAGGGACCTGAGCTTGGGGTTCCCGTCTCTTCCTCTGATATCTTTGGTTCTTAATGACAGATGGTGGTCACTGCAGAGCCAAGGACAGCTATGCCCTGCCATCTGACCTTAGCAATCTCTAGATTGTTGTTTCATTAGGGTGGGTGAGACCACCCTCCTCTAGGGGCCTCAGATTCCTTGTTTTCTTGGGTTGTAAGCACCCAGGACAGATGCTTTCTACTGCTGGGCTCTACCAGCGATGGGGGAGAAGGAGGAGAAGGGGGAGGGGGGAAGTGGGGGAGGAAGGAAAAGGAGGGGATGAGAGGAGAGGAGGAAGAGAAGGGGGAAGAGGAGAAGGGGGAGAGGGAGGAGAGGGAGAGGAGAAGGGGGAAGAGGAGAAGCGGGGAACAAGAGGAGGAGCAGTGGGGGAGACATTGGGAAGAGGGAGCCATGTAAGGTCCAGAGGGCAGAATATGAGTCAGTCAGTAGATCAGGGTGCCTAGGTAAGACCCACAGGGTAGACTCACAGAATCTATTCCTCTGTCCTTGAAGGTAGCCTCTCTTGAAGCAACAAGCTGGATGGGGACAGAGTTGGTCTCAAGTCACATAGAACCAGTCTTGCAAATCTTCGTGCTGTTTGCCACAGCCTGACCTGGATCTCATAAGACCCTGGTAAGGTTAGATCCACCCAGGGCCACTGTGGCCTCAGGAGTGCTTTAGATGCTCTTTCCCTGAGTCATTTCACAGAGGCAGTGGCAGAGCTGGGGAGCTGGAAAGAGAGCCATCCGCAGTAAGATCACTGATGAGTCATATATAATCATAATACCAGCCCCAGGATGCTGGTTGCTGTGGAGACGGAATTGAATCCTCAAGCTGTATTTATTCGGAGAACCTAGAGGCAATGTAAAGGAAAGGAGCATTCTGGAGAAATGCTAGGGGCAGTGGACTGGATGCATGTGTGCCCCCAGGTGCGTGTGTGTTCCCAAGTGCGTGTGTGCCCCCAGGTGCGTGTGTGTCCCCAGGCCTCGAGGGAAAAGACAGGGGAAAACAGCGACAACACAAAGCTCAAAGACAAGGCTGAGCATCTAGCCAGAAGGACAAGATTTTGGAATGAGTATTGCCCGTGTCCTGGTTTCCTATAAAGTAAACCATTGAGAGATAGCCCAGACAAAGCTGTCTCCCCTGGCTTCCCGGATTTCCAGCTCTCGGGTAAAGCACAATGCAAAGAATTCATTCTGGTCTCTGCTCATTGCGTTTGCAGTGACAGACAGCAGGAATTACTGCATTCCAGAGACACATGTAGGTGAACCTATGCTTGTGTGTAACATGACAGACAGGAGGACACAGGTGTCTCACAGGTGTCCCCTCAGTGTCCATGTGGAGCTCTGGCTTGCAGTGGGATGATGGGGAGAGGGACCCTGTGGAAGGTTTGTGTTGGATGAGGCTGGGAAGGTGAGTTCTTGTGATGGGAATGAGTCAGTGCCCAGCTGCATGAGGACACAGTGAGGTGACCCCTGCCAACTGGGAAAAGACTTTCTTTAGAACTCTCTCCTATGGAAGCCCTCTTGGATCATCACCTCCAGAACTTAGAGACATAAATGCTGTTTAGGCCTCTGTCTAGGGTCCTAGGCTATGGCATTCCCAGCTGACAAATCCACACCCACGAGCACACCTTAAATCCATGAGCTCTCAACTTTTTCTGGGGACTTAGACTCTGAGGGGAGAACCCTCTTGGACGGCATCATACCACTTCCCGTTCTGAGTGTGTGTGGGTGATGACAGCCCTTCCTGTCAGGAGGAGGAGAGACGTGGGATGACAAAGGGAGCCTCAATCACAGGACTGGACACCGTGTTCTGATGGAGGAGGAATAAAGACTCTGTGGTGAAAGAGACATTACTTTGAGCTCAGCCCACAGGTCCAGAGCCTCCGGGATCTCTTCCTGCTTCCTAGATCAACATGACCCCTGATTCCCACCCCCGCCGTGATCTGGGATGTCTGCATTTCTGAGTGAGAAGCAAAGTAGACTAGTCTCAGCTTCCTGAAAGCCCTGACTGCTACTCTCAGGGCTGGAGAAGTTTCTGTATTTCTTCTCATCGCTAAGCCACAGGGCAGGAGCAGGTCTCAGTGACTTTATTCTGTAGAGACAGCTCTAAAAATGAGTGGCTGCAGACAGCCACGGACAAGTTTGCACACGCACACACATACAGCAGTGCACACCCATGTTCATGTGTGCATTGCACGCTGACAAACAACTCCATTAGCACATATGGTGTATAGGCAGAGAATGCAGAGCCTCATGTCAACACAGGCACATGTAATGCACAGGGCACACTCACAGTGGATCACACACCTGCAGACAACCTCTAGATATATGCATATGTGCAGAGTGTACATATGTACACCTGGACCCTTACACAGGCACATGTATTTACACAGTCACCATGCATACACAATATGTGCATATACAGTACGCACATTCATTCACGTGCGTACATATTCATCCATGCACATATAAGTCTGCATACAAGTCCACATACACTCCTGATCATCCCGTCTCTCGCTCAGGGCAGAGTCTGCTGTG